GCCCCCGCAAATAATTAATTGAAATTATTATAAATGTAAGTAAAAATAGGGGATCCTGCCTGCATAACGCAGTCCTGATGAATTTGAGGTTAGATTCAGCTATAAGTAGATGTATTCATATTTTTCAGAAACAATAAGATGCCAAAGAGGAAATGTAATTTCACTGCAAAAACAATATCCATTTATGAAACGTGGACGTTATGATTGGGAAATAATTTGTACTTTGTGTTCATCAACCATTTCAATCGCAAATAAAGGCTCGTATGATATTACTGAACATTTAGGCACAAACAAACATAAACAATGGGATTAAAGTCAAGCTAGTTGTTCAAAGATTGATAGTTTTTTTTCTAAATTACCCGAAAACGATAATGTCCGCGCAATTGAAGGAACTATTGCATATCATACAATATATTAGGTGTACAAATGAATAATCCAATTTTTTTAGCTACATTCAGGGTTTATTTTAAAAGAAACTAAATGAAATTGTTCAATCAAAGTATTCGCCGTTGCTTTCTATAACTTTATGCCGTCTTTCAGGCAACTGATGAATTCCATCTCGGAAAAATGTTACGTCTTTGGATACGATAATGTCGTCAAGCCATTTTCGGATCTCATCCACTGTTTGGAAGTGCATATCGGACAAGGCGTGTTGCATCGACCGGAACAAGTGGTAATCGGATGGAGCAATATCTGGTGAATACGCCGGGTGCTGCAAGACGTCCCAGCCAAGACTCATTATGGTGTCTTTTGTATTGGAAGCAATGTGAGGCCTGGCGTTGTCATGCAACAATTTCACTGGACGTTCTCCTTTGCCAGTATACGGGCGTTTTCGTTCCAATTCTTGACTCAAGCAGATTAATTGACGTTGGTAGCAGTCCGCAGTAACTGTTTCACCCGGTTCCAACAACTCATAATAAAGCACGTCCTTGATATCCCACCAAATGCAGAGAAGAACCTTCTTTCCGAAGCGATTGGGTTTTGCGACCGATTTTGATGATTCGCCGGGATTTACCCATGACTTTCTGCATTTCGGATTGTCATAGAGTATCCATTTCTCATCGCCCGTAACGATTTTCCACAAGAAAGACTTCCGACGCTGCTTATTGAGAAGAGAAAGACACGCTGCCACTCGTTGATTTTTGTTGGTTTCAGTGAGTTCATGCGGAACCCATTTTCCTTCTTTCTGGATCTTTCCCATCTCATGTAGGCGTTTGGAAGTCGTTTGCTGCGTTACTCCCAACTGTTCTGCAAGCTCTTTTTGCGTTTGTGCCGAATTCTCAGCGAGCAGTTGTTCCAAATCATCGTTGTCGCGCTTCCGAGGGCCTCCAGGGCGTTGTTTGTCGATTAGACTAAAATCACCGCTTTTAAACCGCTTAAATCAAAATATGCACACATCGTACGATACAACACCTTCGCCGAGAAAGGAGCAAATCGATTCGCACGCTCTTGTAGCATTTTTTCCTTGCTGGAATTCGTAAAGAATGCAGTGTTGGATATGCACCTTATCTGTTGCCATTTTCGACTGTACTGAACTGAATACTTTTGAAGGTTACGTTGGGCCTTTCGCCAAACTATATGTTCTTTTTAATAGTTATATGTCAACATTGTATAAACACAAAAGAGCGGGAAAATCTATTCAATTTAAAATTGATTTCATAACTACTTAAAATAATTTGGATTATTCATTTGTACACCTAATATCACCACATGTCATTTATATCTCTCGACTGCACCATGAATTTGAATAAATTATTATTTCAAGATTCCAATATCGCTAAAATCGCTACTTGCAATAGAACTAAAGAAACTGCGATAATTAAAAATGTACTATCTCCACTGTCAATATCTAAAATAATGAAAGAACTTGAAGAAGTATATTTCATAAGTGTTTCATGCGATACTAGTAATCACGGAGCTACAAAATTACTACCTATATTTATTCAATATTATGACGTTCATAATATTGGTGTTACAACAAGAATTTTAGATATTGTTACAATAACTAATGAAAGCTCTGATACAATTACCGATATGATTCTTAGTGTATTAGAAAAACATTTCTTGTCGTCAAAATGTGTTGCTTTTAGTGGCGACAATTGCAACACTAATTTTTGTGGTAGAGACAGAGCAGGGCAAAACAATGTTTATGCTAAGTTAAAGAGCAGGCTTCAGAAATAAATAATTGGTATCGGCTGTCAAGCTCATATCATTAATAACACGATTCACAAAGGTTGCGACAACTTTTCTATATAGAATCAATTATTCTAAAAATTTATAATTATTTTCGGTAATGTTCCGGATTCAATTATGAATCGCGGTCTGTTCGTCACCGGCGTGATGGCAGCATCAGCCGGGTCAGATCTTGCAGCGCCACCGGAGCGCTGCGCGCGCATGCCCGATCGCGACGCGCGGCGACGGCGCTTCGTCACGCTCGTTACCGGCGCTTTTTGGCTCATGGCTACGGTACGAAGTACACGCGTCGTGTAGTGAAAAGGATTCTCAAGTGCTATAGTGGACTTTCCTCATCGCGACTAGACTTAGTGTGGACACGTAGTGAACTCAGCAGTGCGACTCAACCAGGACAGCTCGGGATACAGCATCACCGGCGGCTCAAGCTCACCACGCATCGCACGCCGGCGTCGCGTGGACACGGCTCACGGGCATCCACAATCACGAGGCTGGGTATCGATTAATATAATCGACCCGTGCAAGTGACAAAGAGACTGATCATCCCCATTAAACCCTAGACTGCTCAAACTGTAAGCCTTTACATTTATTAAACGGACCACGGTATTTTACACAATCGATTCGAGTTACGATCACGTGATTTCTAACCTCTCACGCGTACATCCGTTCCTCGAGCCTCTCACCGCTAAGTCCTCTCAGCCCTGCTTCCAACCGCAGCGGTCCAGCGAGCTCTCCCAAGGAGAGTCGCGAACATTTTTTGGTCCTTCGAGCCGGATAGCGGCGAGGCTCTTGGACGGCCCATCTCAACCACGCAGTGATCACGTGATCTCACGGCCCTTTCGCGTGATCAGTGGCGCGCACATACACAGGTCTACGCATTGTTCACGCGATTTCACGATTCTCTCGCGTGACTCCCATCGCTAGATTCTCTCTCTCATCGGACGGCGAGACTTCTCACCTCTTCGCGCTCTCACCATGGAAGACAAGACGGGCAAGACGGAACGCGCGAAAACCCCGGTGTTGGAACTGCCGCTCGGAGACCGCACGTCGGGAAGAACGTCGTCTCCTGCCCGGCTTTCGACGGAGCTCGCGCTGAAGGTCCAGACGCAGATGGGCCGGATCGCGACGCTCAGGGAGCTCACCGAGGCGCTGCCGGAGGTCCCGGCGCAGACATCGCTCGAGGAGGTCTCGCAGTTCCAACTGCTGGTGGAGGAGACGCACAAGGCGTTCATCAAGGAACACGCCTACTTTGAGATCTCATGGCCGTCGGCGCTCATTCAACATGAGTATTTCGCGGGGAATGCTCACCAGGAAGAGTCGCGGTGCTACATGCAGGCGCGACGGGTCATAGGCGTGCTGCGTCACGCATTGACAGCTCAGGCCGCTCAACCGCAGCCCAGCTCATCAGCCGGCGAGACTCGGCAGACAATCTCACGCTTGCCGGACATCACTCTCCCCAAATTCACCGGGGAATATTCCGCGTGGCCTGCTTTCAGAGACCTGTTCACCAGCCTGGTCATGCAACACGAGCAACTCACGAACGTGGAAAGGCTCCATTACCTCCGTTCGTCGGTGGAAGGCACGCCTGCTCAACTGATCGCAGGATTACCATGTCCGGAGACTCACTCATGCCGTCCTGGGAGTTACTCAAGGACAGATACGAGAACAAGCGCCTGCTCATCCACGCCTGCCTGGATAAATTGTTCGCCAGCTCAACCCCGGTGCCAAGGAAGGCGGCGTCCTTGGATCGGCTGGTCTCGGGAACCAAGGAAGCGCTCAAGGGACTGGAGGCCCTCGAGGTGACAGACAAGCTCGGAGACTGCGCTGTGGTGTACCATGTCACGCGCCTCTTGGACCGCACGACACGCGAGCAGTGGGAGAACTTTGTTGGCGCCACGCGCGACTATCCCACATTCACGAAGCTCGAGGAGTTCCTGACGACTCGTATGCGGGCGCTCGAGCGGATAGAGAATATGACGACTCAACCTGGTTCCAGCTCAGCACCTCCACCAACGAAGAAGACGGCTGCTCATCAGTCTGCTCATCAGGTCGATACAACATACCCGTGCGACTGCTGCGGAGCGCAGCATTTCATCGTGACGTGCAGTAAGTTCCGGGCGCTACCACCATACGAGCGGCACACGGTGGCGATACAGAAGCGGTTGTGCTTCAATTGCCTGGGACGTCATGGTGTGCGCGCATGCAAGTCTCAGAGAGGCTGTAAGACCTGCTCAGGGCGGCACCATACAATGCTGCACGGCACACAGACATCCGCATCGTCAGCTCAACAGGCCGGTGGCTCATCGGTCACGCCCTCAAATTGAAGAGTCGGTGCAGTCGTCGAGACCAGCTCACCCGTCCGCTCATCCTGCTCGACTCTACTCGCCACAGCCTTGGCATCAGTCAACTCATCGTCAACGCATCACTCAGCGCGCCTGCTCATTGACACCGGATCCGAGCTCACCTTCGTCTCGGAGAATCTCACTCGGCAGCTCAACATCCCTCGTCAACACTCAGGTATTCTCATCACTGGAATTGCAGGCAAGGAGTGTACTCGGACACGAGGAGTCGTGTCACTCACGTTATGCTCGATGCATTCCAACGCAGCTGCCACAATTCAAGCTCATGTCCTCCGGACAGTTACATCAATCTTACCATCGTTCGAAGCGGAACCGGAGGAATGACCGCATCTCAAGGACTTGGCATTAGCTGATCCTGATTTTCTCATCCCGCGGCCAGTTGACATCCTCATCGGCGCAGACGCTTACGGGCAAATCATCAAGGCCAATATCATTCGGCATTCTCCACTCATGCCGATAGCGCAACTCTCCATTTTCGGATGGCTCGTTCTTGGACCAGTCAATAGGGAAGCAACACGCACATCAACGCACCATGCTTCTACTCAAGTCAACGAGGATGCTCTCAACGAGTTACTGACAAAATTCTGGGTTCAAGAGGAGGTGCCTACTCACGATGTCAATCAACTCACTCCTGACGAGCAGAGGTGCGAAGAGCACTTCAAGGCCACACACTCTCGTGATTCTTCAGGGAGGTACGTTGTCAGGATTCCGCTCAAATCACCAGTATATCTTCTGGGTGACTCGTACCACGTCGCCCATCAGTGCCTCAAGGGATTACGCAGACGATTCTCAAGGGATGTGAACTATCAACGTCTCTATCAACAATTCATGATGGAGTACGAGACACTCAACCACATGACGAAGGCATCATCCATCTCCAGTCGTCGCTCACACTTCTACCTACCACATCACGGTGTTCTCAAACCTGACAGTACAACAACGAAGCTGCGAGTCGTATTTAATGGCTCCAGCGCATCAACATCGGGCTACTCTGTTAACGACCTCATGTATACTGGAGCGAAATTGCAACTGAATATCTCAGATGTTCTCCTCTGGATACGAAGACACCGTCACACTTTCGCTACAGACATCACCAAGATGTACAGGCAGATCAAAATTCACAAGGATGACTGGGAGTTGCAACGGATACTCTGGATGGACGATCAACTCAATGAGGTGCCATACCATCTGACAACCGTCACCTACGGGACAAAGGCCGCGCCGTTCTTGGCCGTCAGGACGCTGTTACAACTAGCAGAGGACGAAGGAAATAAATATCCACTGGCTGTGCCATCCATCACTCATGGCAGGTATGTCGATGACATATTTGGTGGTGCAGATACGATTCAACAATTGCAGGAGGTCGCACATCAACTAAAGGGCCTCTGCATGGCGGGCGGCTTCCCACTGGCAAAATGGCATGCTACTCATCTCGACATACTCAAGACTGTCACCGACAGCGAAGACCAAGGCTTACCAATCACATTCGACGATTGCGCAACCAAGATACTCGGACTCAAATGGCGCCCTCAAGAAGACACATTTGCATTCTCAACGAGAAGCTCACGCAAGGAAGGCAGGCTCACAAAACGCTTCGTATTATCTGAAGTGGCTCAGATATTCGATCCACTTGGCTTTGCATCACCCGTCGTGATCAAGGCCAAAATTCT